CTGTTCCCCAGGGCCTGGCACTTCAGCAAATGTCTCCTCTGTGGGTGCTTGTGCCCTACTGCTCTGTGGCCTGGCCTTGTTTTCCTTTAGGCCTCTCATCTGCAGTGGCTCTCTTTGCCTTTTGAGGGCAGGGTTTGGTCCGTGGGTTGTTGGTGGCTAGTCTGGGGCCGCCTTGGCCTGAGTGAGTCAGACCAGCTATTTGCCAGAGGGGCACTATCCCCGAACTGCAGGGCCCTCTCCCTAGGTTGTCCCCTGAGAAGCTTTTGTGGGTGGGTGGGCCCTGCAGTCTGACCAGATGTCTGCCCCCAGCCCACTGCTGGGGCCGCAGTCGGACCGGTGTGTGTGGTTACCTTTCCCTTTCCCGGGAGCAGGAGTCACCGTGGAGGGGTGCTGGCCCCTCTTGGGGCTGCTTGCACATTGCCAGGCTTGTGGCACCACTTTGGATGAGCTTGGGCCTGGGGTGTATTGGAGGGGTTAGGTTTGCAGGAGAACGCACGGAGGGACTCCAGGTGCCAGCAAGGTGCGTGCTGGTCCACTGCCAGTGGGGATGTGCAGTGGGCAGGGAGAGCTCCTGCGGAGCCGGCCAGGCGGGCGGGGACGGGGCCGCAGGAAGAGTACGGGAGTGAGGTGCCCGGTGCCGGCAGGGTGCGGGCCAGGCCACTGTGGGAGGGATGCTGTAACCGCCCTGGAAGACCCCTGCAGAGGCCGGGGTGGGGTGTCGGGGCACGTGCCATTATCACTCTGCTGGTTCCTGCAGGTTTCTGTGTATCTTGGCTGGGGGGGTGGGGAAGGGAAATGGCACCTGCCAGCTCTTTTGTTCTTGGAAAAGTCTCCCAAGGATGCCTGCCCCTCCAGTGTGGGCTCTGAGATTAGTAAACAGCTGTCCCTCCCATATACCCCAGGCGCTTTCAACCTGCTGCTGCTTTGCTGTATCTCCGTGAGGCTATTGTGCAGTCTCCGTTTCCTGTCACCCTCCAGCTCTCCGAGAGCTGAGCCGCTGGTTTTTAAAGTTTCAGGGGCTCCACCCCACTGATTAGTTGGGCCCATCTGGTTTTCAAAGCCTGATGTTATGGTGACTCATCTTCCCAGTGCAGATCCCGGGTGCCTGGTGTGGGGTCTGCTCTTTTCCCCTCTCTGCACCTGGTGCATTTCTCCCTCCTGTGGACAGCCCTGCGGGTCCTTTGGGCTACAGACCACGTCCACCCTTCCTGTCCCTCTTTGATGTGCCCGTTCTCTACATTTAGCTGTGGAGAGTCTGTTCTGCCAGTCTTTGGGTCCTTTTCTGGGTTATTTACACTCATGTTGGTGTTAGCTTAGTGTAACCGTGGCATGAGGTGAGCCTAGGAGCCTCCTACTTTGCGGTCTTCCCCAGAAGTAAGATTTAGCATAATTCTTAAAGGCCCTAAGATTTTCAGAATGGTCCGTGAGCATTCAACTTAAAGTCACCAACTGCATTGGCCCCGACAAGATGATCAGCCTGTCCTTGGAAGCTTTGAAGGCAGGCACTGACTTCTCCTCTCTAGCCAGGAAAGTCCTAGATGGCATCTTCTTCCTGTGGGAGGCTCTCGCACCCACACTGAAAATCTGTGGGTCAGTGGAGTTGCCTCCGGTAATGACCTCAGCTCTATCTTCTGGATCACTTGCCGCAGCTTTGCCTTGCACTTTTATGCCCCGGGCATGGCTTCCTTCCTTAAACCTCAGGAACCGATCTCTGCTAGCTTCAGGCTTTGCTTCTGCAGCTTCCTCCCCTCTTCCGCCTTCACGGAATTGAAGAGAGTCAGGGCCTCGCTTCTGGGTTAGGCTTTGGCTGAAGGGAATGTTGGGGCTGGTTTGATCTTCTGTCCAAATGACTGACACTCTCTCTGTATCAGCAGTAAGGCTCTTTCACTTCCTTATTGTCTGTGTGCTCAGGGTGCATGTGCAGTTTCCTTCAGGAACCACCTTGGTATTCGGAACTTGGCTGTTTGACACAAGCAGCTTAGCTTTGGGCCAGTCTCCGCTTTTAGCATGCCTTCCTCTTGTGTGAACATGTAGAGGCCGCTGGAGAGTTGTCACTGGGCCCCTCTCTGGGAATAGGCCGAGGAGAGAGGGGGAGACAGGGCTTCAGTTGGCCGGCTTGTGGTGCCACAGAGCAATTATAACAGTAGAACCAAGGATCACTGGTCACAGATCGCCATGACTAATAATAGGAATGACGAAGGTTAAGAAATGGTGAGAATTGTGACAGACATGAAGTGCAGTCCTGGGTGGGAAGAGGGTGCCATGGACGTGCCGACACAGGGTCGCCGCTGGCCTTTGGTTTGTGAAATGCCCCATGTCTGTGGGGCGCGGTAAGTCGAGCTGTGCCTGTGCCTTGGGTGCCCCTGTGCTCTGGCCTCCACTGGTGCCCGTGACATGGCGGGGCTGCGAGTCCCACGCCCACTCTGTGCTGTCTCTTTGTTTGGCCTTCAGCACGTGCTGGGACATGTCTGCTGCGGATCTGTGTGCGTACCCCACCTTGGTTGGCTGCGCGTTGGCTCTGGAGACTAATGCTTTCATCAGATTTGGGAAGTTGGGGCCTTTCTTTCTCTCTTTTCTTTTCTTTTTTCTTTCTTTCTCTCTCTCTTTCCTTTTCTTCCTCTCCTTTCTTTCTTCCAAGATTTTATTTATTTGAGAGAGAGAGAGAGAGCGCGCACAATCAGAGGGAGAGAGAAGGAGGCTTCCTGCGGAGCAGGGAGCCCGACACAGGACTCGATCCCAGGACCCCAGGATCATGACTGAGGCGAAGGCAGACGCTTCACCGACTGAGCCACCCAGGCGCCCCAGGGGCCTTCATTTCTTCTGAAACTGTTGTGGTTTTCTTGTCTCCGGGCACCCCCATTACACATGTATGAGTCTGCTCATTGACACCCCACTGGTCTCTCAGGCTCAGTTCACTCTCCTGCATCTCTTTGTTTTCTTGGAACTGAACAGTTTGTATTTGTTTTCAGCTTCATTGATTTTTCTGCCATGCTGGATCTGCTGCTGGCCGCCTCCTGGCAGTCTCTGTTTGTCGAAACACTGGGTGCAGATGTGTTCGCAGAGCTGCCTCGAAGTCTTGGTCAGCTGTGCCCCACAGTTGGCACCTCTGAGGCGGTTTCTCTTAACTTCCTTTCCCTGAGTGTGGGTCACACTTCCTTGCTTTGAAAGTCTCTGAATTTTTTGTTGAATACTCAATATTTTAGTTACTAAGTTGTAGCAGCTCTGGTGTCTGAATTTTTTTTCGTCCCTGAGAGTAGCGATGGTGATGGTTTCATTTCCGTGGGTGTTTTAGTACCTGGTTGGCCTGAATCTGGAGGCTGTCTCCCACATGCTGTGGGTGGCTGGTGTCTGAGCTCAGTTTTTCTCCTTGTTCTCGTTGTTTCTGGCTTCCCAGGGGCCACGCCTGCATCCGCACAGCACAGATGTGTCGGAGGTTGTGCTTAAACACGGCCAGCTTGAACAGCCTCCGCGGTCTGGTCACAAGCGTGTGTGGGCTTGGAGTGCACTCAGCTTGCAGGCCATGCTCAGGCCTGCCCTGCCTCCATGTCCTGGGACTCGGGGGACGCCCGCACTTGGCTCACAGGCTCTGTTGTTGGGGTGGACGTGCTCTTGCCCTGTTGCTTGCCCGCAGAGGGCCATGGCTCAGGCTGGCTGGACTGCCTATTGCTGGGTCACCTTTCTGAAGGAGCACGCTCTAAATCCAGCATCCCCTTCTGGCAGAAGCAGTGAGGCTACAGGTTTTCATGGCCTCTCCGCCCTGGTCCAGCCAGCTGTCTGCAGGGAGAGGGTGGGAGCAGCCTGGATAGGATGCCCCGACTTTGATAGAGCACATTAGCAAAGCTCCACAGTTTGTTGTGAGCCTTTGGTCACTTTCTGGAGGGCTGCCGTGATTGTCGATGAGAGTTTTGTCCAGCTTGGTGGCTGTTTTAGGGATGGGGTTGGTCGACCTCACTGTGCATGTGATAGGGACTCCCAGGCTCACCAGTAATGCTGTGTGGAGAGTTGCCTGGCACTGGGCAGACAGGGGGGGCCCAGGCAGCAGGAGTCAGGTGCCCAGCTGAGGTCTGGCTCTGGGAAGTGGCATTAGGAACAGAGTGAACAGATGGGAACAGGGTCAGCATGGGGTGGTTTTCCAAAACGAGCTCATCATGCATACGTTTCAAACATCTGACATGGGAGCACAGGTCCAGAGATATCGGAAGCTGTGTGGGGCCGTGGCTGGAAGCACCCAGAGCTATGGTGCAGACCTGTTGTGCCCTTAGGCAGGGCACCCTCACGCCCAACTGAGAAAACACCTGTAACTCAGCAGCATATTTCAAACCCAGGGAGGGCAGGTCAGATAGCCTGGGAAAATATTGGTGTTGAGGTTGGATAGTGGGTATGTGGGATTTGTTGTTGTACCGTTCTCTTTTCTTGGGTGTGTGTTGGGAAATTGTCCTAACTAAAAGGTCAGGAAAGGAAGTAGGCACAAATAAGCTGTTTCCTTGGAGCAAGAAGAAGAAGGCAGGAATAGAGCAAGATGGGAGCGTGCCGTGGAAATGCTGAGTAGTGATTGTGAGCTTCTCCTGATGGTGGGGGACTTGCCACCAACAGCATGGGTGGGGATCTAGGACAGTATCTTTCTGTCTGGAAAACTCAGGAGAATTTTGAGAGAGAAGATGCATGTTTGGAAACCAGTAGCCACCTTCTGCAGAGGCGGTTTCGAAAATGGTGGGGAGAGACTCCCTCAAAAGGGCTGTTGTAGGTGCGCACTGTCTGGAAATACCTTAGTTTCAGAAGGTGGGGTCCCCCCACCGCACACTTTGCTGAGCCACATGGAGGTTCGATCACAGGGATGGGACGCTGGTTGTCCCCAGAGAAGTTGATGGTGTTTTTGGATCTCTGCCAGGAGATACTGAACTTCATGGGGTTGTCAGAAGACTGTATAACAGGCAGTCTGCCGAGGGTGAGTGAGGTCCTGGGCTGGGTGCCTGATGCCCCTGTCGCCCTCCGTGTCGCAGTCGGGGCGGTGCCGGTCCTCTCCAGAGACACCGTGTCGGGGAAGAAGGGCCACCACTTGAGCCAGGTGAAGACCCCGCACAACCCCTTGGACTCCAGCGCCCCACTGATGAAGAAGGGGAAGCAGAGGGAGGTCCCCAAGGCCAAGAAGCCAACCTCATTGAAGAAGGTATGCGGTGAAAGCAGGCGCTAGCAAACCTCCCTCTCCCGTCTGTGTTACGTCTTACAGCTCTTGGCGTTTTCGGTTCTAACGTTCGCTCTGCTGGAATGTGCCCTCTTGAGATGTGTGCGCCACTCTGACAATGACCCCCCTCCCTGAGTGGGACGGCAGAGGGTACAGAGCAGGGCGCCTCCGCTCCTGGAGGCGGGCTCTTTTTCTTTTAATACTGGCAGGGATGCGGACAGAGAACCAGGAATGGGGGCCGTCGTGTTCTCCTTGTTCACCCTCGCTGCCCTCCTCCTCCCCTGGGGGATCTGGCTGGTGCTCCGATTCTGGAATACGGGTTCTGTTGGGGCTGCTGCAGCCACTGGCGTCTGGCCTGGGTCCTGCGTGCCTGGCTCTGCACACCTGGGGGACGTGGGCCCGGCCCCTGGGGGATGGAGGGCATGTCGCTGCTGTGAGGGCGCAGGAAGGCACGATGCCCGCCCGCTGAGGTTGGGTGGCTTATTTTGTAGAAGGGTTTATTTTTAAGGACAAGTATTTAGGTGTTTTAATCGTTTATTTCATTTTAAAGATTATTTTGAAAGAACGGCAGGAGAGAAAGCAGCAGCGTCTCCAAGAAAATGCTGTGAGCCCTGCTTCCGCCAGTGACGCTGTGCTGGATGGTGAGAGCGGTGGTGATGAGGCCCTTGAGCTGGCCGACCCCTCAGGTACCGAGCACGCTTGCTTGCTGCCCAGGGGAGCCCTGCAGCAGGGGCGGGCACGGCGGGGGAAGCCTGCAGCCGGGGTGGGGGCGGGGGCGGGCACGGCGGGGGAAGGCGGCTGGCCTTGAAAGCAGAATGTGGCAGCTGTCAAAAGTCAGACTTGCTGGAAAGAGGGCATCCCCGTGGGCCAGTAGAGCTCCTGGTACCCTTGGTTCTTGGGGTACGGTCTAGGGGACAGAGGAACGAGGACCCCAATCGTGATGTGTGTGGCATTGGATGGTCCTCGGAGCTTGAAGTGGCCGTGAGAATGAACGCCACTCACTGCGAAGCTGCTTTGTCACCAGTGTGAGAGTCCCGGTGTCAGAGAAAGTGTTAGGCCTTTTATTGAGCTGTGTGTTCAGAACAGTACACAGATCGTACGTGTGTGGCTTGAGGACTTGTCACCTTTGTCATCCTGCCGAGGGCTGCCCCAGAGATGCTGCCCTGTGAGGTGCGCTCAGGCCTTCTCCACCCTCAGCCTGTGTGCCCAACTGGGGCTGTGCTCTCACTTACTTCTCCGGGACGTTGCAGAAGGACTGGAGACGTTGCCGTTCTCTGCGCCCGCGCTGGAGGGCAGGTCAGAAGAGCTGCCAAGAGCGGAGCTCCAGAAGGAGGTAGAGGGCTGCCAACTGGTTCCCGACGGCGCTGGCTGCCCCAAGATCCACAGCCGGAGATTCCGGGAGTGAGTGACCACAGGGCCGTGCCTGCCGTGGGGCCTGGGGCGGGGTGTGCTCACTCTGGTGTTGAGCGTGGGGCTGTCCCACCCTGACGTGCTCAGGCCATCGGGCCAGGCTCCGGCTTTCCTCCTCGTCAGAACCCATGTCAGGGCCACCTTACCTGCTTCTGCGAGGTCCTTGTTCTCACGTGCTGCCGAGGTGTGCACTGGGGGACTGGGCAGTGCGGTGACACCTCCCTTTCACAGTCTGGTGTGTCTGGGTAGTTTCTGAGGGGACTCTGCCTGCTCCTGTCCCACTTCAGGGCACACTCCACGTGTGGATCTCTGTGGGCAGCAGCTGCCACGGAGCACGTGGCGGGCCATCAGGGGCTGCGGGGCGCAGAGGCTTTGTTCCTCGTGGTCAGGAGCGGGGAGGATGTGAAGTCTGACCGTCGGGAGCCCCGTCGGGAGCTTTGCGGCCGGGCCGCCCCTCGCAGGAATTCCCGAGGGGCCCCCGCCAATGGGCACCTTCTCTCAGTTACTGCAGCCAGATGCTGAGTAAGGAGGTGGACGCGTGTGTCACGGATCTGCTGAAGGAGCTGGTGCGCTTCCAAGACCGCATGTACCAGAAAGATCCAGTCAAGGCTAAGACCAAACGCCGACTTGTGCTGGGGCTGCGGGAGGTCCTCAAGCATCTGAAGCTCAGGAAACTCAAGTGCATCATCATCTCTCCCAACTGTGAGAAGATCCAGTCGAAAGGTAACGAGCACTGTGGCCCCTGGCCCGGCTGCTGGGGTGGATTTGTTTCTCTTTGTTCGTACCTGACGGCTGTGTTTGCAGTTTCACCTGACCACCCAGTGTCCTGCTCTCCGAGGCAGCCAGGCCCCTGTGGGTGCCGGCTGATGGTCCGGCCAGTTGGTGCAGGCCTCTGGCGGGGGTCCTCCGGAGCTCACACTGCGGGAATTCTGTGACCGGCAGCCTGGCAGTCCACTGCCAATTGACTTGCTCAGTCTGTGAGCCCTCCCAGCTTGTCCAGGGGCTTGGCCACCTTACCGACCCCGGCAGGTTGGCTGTGTTTTGGGGGATGCAGCGGATTGGGTGAGGTGACAGACACGGGCTGTGTGTTGGAGGGACGGGTAGTCAGGAGCCTGTGTCCTGTGTCTTCCTTTGCCAGGGGCCGAAGGGAGCCTTCCGCGGGCACGGGCCTCTCTCCCACGTTGTACAGGTCACCTTGCAGGGGCCGAGTCTGGATCCTATACTGAGCTTCCCTGGTTTCCGTTTCACAGCTGGAGACTTGAGGTTTCCTGGCTTGTGTGGGGCCCCCGGGGCCTGAGAGCAGCTGCTGGACCTGCTCACTGCCCGCCTAGCTCGTCCTGGTCCTAGCTCGGGGCAGGCCCTGACACTGGAATAGGACAGAAGGGGGCTTCGGGCCCCTGCACTCTGGTTGTGTGTTGGCCGTGCCCCTCCCTTAGGTCCCCTCACAGCGCTGGGCTTCAACACCAGTCCGCCCTCCAGCTCCCGGCCCCGTGGCCTGAGCCTCCTCCAAGACCGCTGGTGCCCGGGGCACTGCACAGCTTCACCTGGGCCCCTTGGGGCGCTCTGCACCTCCCTGGGGCTGTCCCATGGGGGCGGCCTCCCGGCTCCTGCCGGGGAGCGGGCTGTGCTGACGCTGGCCGGAGCGCGTGTCCTGGGGCCCGGGAGAAGGCTGGCGCGGGGGCGCGTCTAGCAGCTGGGGCTCGCAGCCCAGCCTCCCGGCTCTGCGCCCACTGTCCGTCGTCCTCCCTCCTCTCTGGAGGCGGGTGGGCGCTGCCCTGTGCCCAAGGCTCCGGGAGGGGGTGGGTGGCTTGTGGGGGCCCCCTGCACTGCTGTTCTCTCAGCCTTTCCTTGGTTCTGTTTTCTGTCAGGCTTCCTCAACTGCATCCTCTGAGCTTCAGCAGAGTTTCCCATTTCTGCTGTTATTTCCGATTTCCGGGAGCAGTTTTTGTTGTCCTGAAGTCTCCGTGTTTGTTGCCGCCGCTGCTGCTTTGGGGCCAGATCAGCGCCCTGAGCCTCATGCAGAGAGGGTGTAGGGTTGTGCCCGCCCCTAGAAGCGCAGGGCCCGGCGTTGCCTGCGTGATGCAGGTGTGCACGCCAACTGCCCTCACCTTCTTTGAACGTCCGTCTGCGTGGAACGTGCCTGCTGGTGCATGCGGTCGCCAGGCTCTGGGGAATTGGCGCTGGGCTGTAGATGGCGGGCTCGGGGCTCCCCCACTCGCCCCGCTGTCAGGTCGGTGCCCCCGGTCGTCCGTTTGCATCTCAGCTTCCTGCTCTTGTTTCGAGTTCTCCTGTGATTTGTGTCTTTAACAAACAGACCAAGGAATGAGTGTGCAGTGGGCACCGCGCCGTGCTTTTCCTGTGAGCTGCCTTTCCCCTGACGGGGCCGGGGGTTTGCCTGGGCCGACAGGCGTCTGCATTGGCGGCAGGTTCAACTGCGCTGTTTGTCATCTGTTCCTGTGCATTTTTACTTGAGGCCGAAGGAACTTGATTCTTCTTGGAAAAGCTTGCCAATGGCTTGCAGTATTTTGTAGAACTTGGCATCCTGGCTTTGGGCTGTGTGAAGTACTGTGTCTGCGCAGAGCGGCATTTCGCCTGGTAATGCTGAGCTTGAATTGTACGTGGCACTTGTCTTGAGCATTTTGCTTGTTCTGAGTGTGTTGTCGTCTCAGTCCTGGGAAGTGGGCACTTGGAGATGCTTTCAGCTCCCACTGAGCCTGCGGGCTGGGCGCTGGGTGGAGCAGAACCGTCTAGGCTTGCCGCTGTGTCAGGCCCGGTCTCCCAGAGTCCCTCCCAGGGGAGTCCCACAGGATGTGCATGTGGGGTGCCATCTGCAGGGACCGTGATCCTCCTCATTCCCACCCCGTAGCCCCTCTTACCAGTTAGCATGGTGGGTGCCCTCTGGAAACCCAAGTCCTGACGTCAGCCACGGGCCACCTGGAAAGCAGGCCTTTGAAGGGACAACAGCCATGGCGCCGCAGCACGGAAAGCATTTGTGGTTGGCCCCGGGGCTGGGGGACACGAGGCAAAGAGAGAGCACGTGGCGGGTGCCGAGGGGTACAGGAGTCTCCAGCAGGAAGTTGGGAATAACTGTAGTTCTGGCTGAGGATCCCGCGCTCCTCCTCCGCCGTCTCCCGCCTGCTTTCCCTGCCGGCCCAGAACTGAGGCCTTCCTTGAGCGTCTCTGTCCCCAGAGCTTGCTTCCTCCTCTCCTTCCTCGATCTTCAGGTGGATCTGGGTCGGGCGTGGGCAGAACTAAGGGGCGTGGGACCTAAGTGTTCATCTCTGGTCACACCGGCTGCCGAGTGACGTCCCAGTTCCCAGAGCAGTGGAATGTGCTTTTTTGTCTTGAAAGAACATTGGATGATCCTGTAATTAGTGCCAGGTGACAGGGGCCACGGGAGACATTTTCTTCTCCGGCAGATGTCATGGGCCCCGTCCGTAAATCGTCTGCACGCAGGTTGCTGGGCCCGTGCCGTGCAGTGAGCCAGGTGCTGGGTTTCCTTTCAAGGAGTTAGCCCCCCCAGACACCTGCGGCCCCGCCAGAGGCAGCCAGCATTGCCACATTTGATGTGTCCTTGGTAGTCAGGGTGTGAATGTGTGAGAGAGAGAGACAGGTCTGGCAACTTGGCGCTGTGGGCCCCTCGTGGGGAGCTCACCAGCATTCTGGGGGCCCAGCTGTGAGCACCGTGCTCACACTTGCTTTGCTCAGACGGTACCGACAGACATCCTGGCTCTTTCCAGACGTCTGCAGCTGTGAACAAGGACACACCTTGCATGCTGTCCTTTCTATTTGTGGGAACATCTCTGTGGGGCCCTACCGAGAATGCAAGGGCAGGTGCATCTGAGGGTCCGTGGGTTACGCCCCTGCTGCTTGTTCGAGTGGTGTGCCCAGAGCAGGTCCTGTCCGGTGCCCGGCTCCAGCTCTGGCCCCGGCTCCGGGGAGGCTGTTTGCATTTTTCTTGGGAGGGGAGGGCGAGCAGCCTCTTTCTTGTTGAAGAGTTTGGTTTCAGTGAACTGTTGGTTTATGTTCTTTGCCCATTTGTCTTTCGGGATGTTGATCTTTTTAATAGTGACATGTGCCGTTTTATATAATAAGAAAGCTCTTTGGGAAAGAGTTGTAAATGTTATTTTGGTTTGTCATTTGCCTGTTTTTTAAACGTTTTTTGGCCATGGAGAGATTTTGGGTGTTGTTATTATACTGATGTTTTTTATTCTTGTGATTTTATTGCATTTAGATTTTATGGCATTTCTCCACCTTAACACTCCAAGGTTATTAGTAGGTTTTTTAGTATTGTTTTTCTGGTTCTTCCATGTTTTCATTTTTGTTTGCTTAGGTAGACTATATTTTTTCTCAGGGGGATCTTTCCAGAGGCCGACCAGTTGCCCTTTCCCTGCTGCCTCACAGCGCTCCTCCCACCAGAGCCTCCGTTCTGCACCCCGCATCCCCACCTTTATGCTCTCGTACGGGATGATGACCTCACGTCATCTTCCTTTTTCAAAAGGCTGGCTCTCACTTGTGTATTTTTTTCATATTCTTTATTCCTCAGTAGTAAGCGTATTTCCAAGTTTTAGGTTGACACAGAATTGGTCTGTTGTCCCTGGGATGAGTGTGGCCGAGACCATAGGTGCCTCCGTGTAGACATTCTGTTGTGTTTCTGGAGCGCCTCGAAGCCGCTCCGTGCATCTTCTGTACTTGGAACAAATCTGTCCCTGCCTGCAGTGATCTTCCGTGGCTGTCCGTCCGCGTCCTCGCTGGCTCCGCTGGCCTGTGTGAGGACTCGCGGTTTCCGCGTGACTTGTACACAGACACACATGTGTACTTCTCTCGTAGAGATTTGGGGCTGCTGGGCCCCCCGCGTGGCGGGCACGTCACCTACACACACAGCCCCCCTTGGTCCTTCTCACCGCGCCTCTCCCGCTCTCCCCACGCACTGACCCTACCGGGCACCTTGCTCGGCAGCGGGGCGGGTGGTGGAGGGCAGGGAGTCCGCGGCTGGGCCCTGTCGGTATCGGATACTTGGTGACCTCTCTGTGCTCCAGGGTCCCATCTGTCTGGGTGCATTTAGATTTTATGGCATTTCTCCATATTCTCCCATCCCTTGCTGGGTTCTCGTACTCGAGAGGCAGTTAACCAGTGGCCTGGCGCACAATGAGTGTTCAGTAACTATTCACTAAGTGCAATATTGTGATTTATATGAGACACCTATTTGGTCAGTCAGATGACTGAAAGAGATTTCTCCTTCCTATTTGGTTTTTGTCTTTGGTTTCTGGCTCTCACCTTCAAATACCCTTGATAACTACAGTAAAGGTGTTATGTTAACGAAGGTGATCTTCGGACCTGCCCAGGGCCTGGCTGCTAGGGGGCCAACCAGGTAACGGGGGGGTTGGAAGCTTGGTCCCATCCCCACCCCACCCCTACCCTTGGCCTCCGGGGGCAGGGAGGGAGGGGCTGGAGGTTGAAGCAGCCAAAGGCCAGTGATGCAGTCAGTCCTGACTCTGTGGTGAAGTCTCCCTAAAATCCCACCGGACTGGGCTAGGACAGCCTGCTGGTCGGCGCACAGGGGGAGGTGCGGGAGGAGTGGTGTGCCGCAGACGGACAGGGCAGCTCGGCGCCCTCCCCACGCCCGCCCGTGCATCTCTGCTCTGGCTGGGATTGCAGTTCCGGGTCACATCCTTAGACTGGGCAGACACAGGAAGTGATTCCCTGCGGTGAGTTCTGTGAGCCTCTAGCACATGAAGAGAGCGGGAGGAGAGCGTGTTGGAGCCTGCAGTGTGCAGGCCTTTGGTCAGAAGCTCTGGTGACACTGAGACGTGGTGGGCCCCTGATGTGGGGGTGGGGCGGCCTCGCACTGCTGGTGTTTGAGATTTGCTTGGTGTTCTGGGGGCCCGCTCTCCCCCCCCCGCCATGTTGGGATTGGGGGCGGGGACTCTGCTGAAAAATGGAGGCTTTACTTCCCGTTAGGCTAACAACGGAGGGGTATTTTATTCTGCTAAGGACGTCGCTCTTCTGGAGAGTTGCTTTCTCCCACATGGCTGAGAGGAACGGTGCCCTTGGCGGTGGCGGCCCTGTCCTGATGGTGTCGGGCACGGCCCGCTGAGGGGTGTCGCCGTGTGCAGGAAAAAGCCCTTTGCGGCCAGTATCAGCGCCACACTGCGTGTGATGCATCTCCCTGTTGTTCCGTTGTCCCTGACCAGGTGGGCTGGATGACACGCTGCACACCATCATTGATTATGCCTGTGAGCAGAACATTCCCTTCGTGTTCGCGCTCAACCGCAAAGCTCTGGGGCGCAGTTTGAACAAGGCCGTTCCCGTCAGCGTGGTGGGCATCTTCAGCTACGACGGGGCCCAGGTGAGCTGGGGGGGTCGGGGGTGGGAGACCCGGGCTCACGTGCAGTGTCCCCACAGGCAGCCCCGAGCCTGGGGCAGGACGGCACATCCCCTGGGGTCGGGGTGTCACCCGTGCGCTCCCTTCTGCCCCAGGACCAGTTCCACAGGATGGTCGAGCTGACGATGGCCGCCCGGCAGGCGTACAAGACCATGCTGGAGAATGTGCGCCGAGAGCTGGCCGGGGAGCCTGGGCCCCCGGCTCCGGCCGGCCCGCCCGTGCAGGGCCCCGGCGGCTCGGCGCAGGACGGCCCCCCTGCCTCCGTGCCTGGGAAAGAAGAGCCGCACTACAGTGAGTGCTGGGGAGGGTGGAGCGCCCTCAAGCCCCGCGTCGACTGACGGGAGGGGCAGGGTGCCCGGACAGCGGCAGGGCTTCTGGGCGGCAGAAGGCCGGCTTGGTCCTGGCTGTCGTCTTCGGGCGGGGCTCAGACGTCGGGTGGCACCTGCAGAGTGCAGCCTTGAGCCCCGCGGTGTCCCTGGTGGAAGGTTAAGGCCAGCGGGCGTTGCGGGCTCACAGATACTAACAGAGCGGGGCGGCGGGGGGCGGGGGCTGGGGGGCGCGGTTCCTTGCCAGGCCCGTGTAGGGCAGCGTGCTCCCCAGTCGAGGCTGCCCCGACTCCCTGCGTGTCCCTCAGCTGTGCCACGTTGTCGTTTTTAGTTGAAATCTGGAGAAGACACCTGGAAGTGTACAGTCGCTGTGCTCTGGAGCTGGAAGACTCGCTGGAGGCTTCAACCTCTCAGATGATGAACCTGAATTTATAGAAGAGTTCTTTGTGTGTGTTGTGTGGGGTAAGGAAGGGGTGCTCGAGAGACCCCGGGCCTTCCTCTTCTCAGGTCTCCGTTGACCTGTTGTGTTCTGTGTGGCTGTTGAGTTGGGAGGTGAAGCCAGGATGCGTGTCCTGGGAAGGGGCCCTTGAGTATGCTGGCAGGAGACTCGCCCAAGAGCATGGAGATGCAGCTTTGGATCTGAGCACACGGAGTCTGGAAAAGCCCGGGACATGTGTAGCCCCCTGAGTTCTCTGCTGTGAAGGAAACCCCCCTCCGATGCGGAAGAGCTGAGCCGTGTTAGTGTGTGGAAGGCGCCGGGGGGTTGGGGGTGGGGGGGGGGCTTTCTCCGGACTTGGCTTTTTGGCTGCAAGATTTGGGGATACTTGGAAGGTCTGCTAAAATGAGCCTCAGAAGGAAAATCGGTTCCCTAACCTGTGACCTTTTGACATGAATTAATTCATTTTTGTCTTCATTTTTCAAAGAAGCCGTGTATATTGAAGTTCTTAAATTTCAGTTTTGATGATCTGCAAATGTTTTCTTTCTTTCGTAAATGAACGTATTCTGAATGTGGTTTCTGTCTTGGAGGCCAGCAGGATAGAAGTTTGCTTTCATACTTTGCTGTAAGTAAGAGGGCTTATTTATTTTGAATAAAGAGCGATGATTTGATCACCCCGCCGTCTTGGGCTTCTCGGGGTTCCCAAGTCCCAGTGCAGCCCCTCAGGTGCGTTGTCTGAAGGGAAGAGGTTTGCGGTGAGGACGCTGCCTCTGCCCGTGTGCTCTGGTACCGTCACCCAGGCGACAGCAGGACAGACCTTTGCCACTGGGCGCATGCGGGGCAACCAGTGGAGCGCATTGGCCTTGAGCGCACTGTGAGGGGCGATCGGTTGTGTGGGTGTCGTACATCTGAGAGGCAAGTGGCCCGTGGGGGCACAGTGGAGTGGGGTGAGGTCAGGGAGGGCCTGTGGTGTGGACAGGTTGGGCCGTGTGGCCGGGGTGGTGCGTGGGAAGCGTTTGTCCTGTCGAGGACGCACGTGCTATTCCTAGCACGCCTGCTTCTCAGAGCCGTTGAAGCAGGGGCCATGTGACGCCCCAGGTTTCTCCTGGGGTTGGGGGAGCCGGGAGGAGCGCACAGGGCGGGGCTTTCCCACCCTGTGTCAGCAGGTGCCCCGTCCACTGTCGTGGGTTTGAAAATCGGAGATGATGGGAGAGGGGAGGTCCTGAAGTTAACCTACAAGGAGAGCGTGACGTTTACAGCTTGCAGCAGGGGATGCTGGCCTTTGCTGAGCGCCCTGGCCTCTGGCGTGTGCGTGGCACTGCTCTGGGGGCAGAGATGCCGAAGCAGAGCAGGGAGGTGTGAGCTCTGCGTTGGCCCTGGAGGGTGCGCTGCTCGGGTGACTTACTGCTGGGGTTGGCCCGGCCACGGTGTCCCTTCCGTGGCAGAGGCTACGGCGGCCGGTGACGCGCTGGCCTCTGCTGACGGTGCCGCCCCTCCCAAACACGCGCTCCGCTCACTGTGTTTATTTCTGTTTATTTTCTCAACAGAGCAGAAAACCCAAACTCCTGTTCTAAGCACGGGTCCCACTAGAACCCTCCCCACTGGGCTCAGGGCACACGTCTCCTGGTGGTGTCGGCGTGAGGTGCTCCGGCCACGTTCAGACCCGGGGCGAGTCTCAAGACCGCAGTAGAGCAGCCCCCTGGAGGGCCCGGGCCACGGAGCCCGTCCCGTGGCAGCTGCGATGCGTGCTCTCACGGGCAACACTGGCGCGCTGTGTGCTGGCCTCTGGGGCAGACCCGGCCTCAGAACGGGGGGTCCGGACACAGGCTGCGGTCACAGGGAGGTGCAGCTCTATCTCTAACGGAGGTTCTGGGTTGGCGTGGACTGGTGTGCTGGTGTGGCCGTCACTCCTTCAGCAGAAGGTGTCCGCAGGGTCCAGGCTGCGCGGCGTCAGGCCTTGGGGTCCTGCACGCACGGTGCGCCCCCAGGGTGCAACTCTCACATCAGCACAGGCCCCCCCCCCCCCCCCGCCCCGTGGCACCACCGGGAGCAGGACGGACCCACTGGTGCCACCGCACGTGAGCTCAGGGCACGCACAGAAGCTCATGGAGCAGCTCTCACGCTTGGTGATGCGCGGAAGCCCGCAAAGCCTTCAATGCCCAGGAGCCCCTGGAGGGTGGGGGGCGGGGGGGGGATACCTCCTGGTCTCTTGAGGTGTCAGGCCAGTTCTTGCCACTGGTGGCGTGTGGGAGCTCAGGGCAGGGTGAGCTGCACGCTCTGGGCCCGGACGGCTCGGCGAAGGCGGGGTAGCCACGCGGCCCAGCAGCAGTGCTTCTGGAAAAGGAGCCGTCACACACACGGCTGTCCACACGGTGTCCACACAGAACCCGCAGCTTCCTAACTGTCCTGGTGCCCGTTTCTGTGGGACAGACTCTTCTGTGCCTTGTAAGCACCTAAGTTTTTAAAACAGTTCTGGCTGTTGTCGGAGAGGTTGAGATGGGGCCAGGTGGCCGCTCACCGTCCCGGGGCGTCTCCGGGGGTGGCATGGCCAGGAGCAGCAGGCTTGGCTGATGTCTACGAGGGGTCCTTGTCACAGCTTTCCTGAAAGAACATCGCAGCCCCTTTTGAGTTCCTGGCAGAACAGAGGCCCTTCTTGTCGCCCGTGCCCCACTGTCCTAGACGCGGGAGGGGGTCCTGTGCGGGCTAAGCTGGAAGGGATCTGTGGGAAACGCTTAGCCTGTGTTGGCAACAAGGAGAGGCTTTGGGTGGCCACTGAAGCCAGGATGTTTGTTTGAAGGCCTGCAGTCGAGCTGTGGGGCTCATCCTCCAGTAACTCCCGGGCTTGGTGGCTGCGCAGATGGTGGCAGCAGCGACTCTGGAGTGGGGGACGCCTGTCCTGCCCCCCCCCCCCCCGGTGCTGGGTTCCCTGCGGGCTCAGCAGGCACCCTGCTCGGCCAGTGTCCAGCCAGAGCCAGCGGCCCTGCCTGCACCTGCCCCCCAACTGGAGTCTCCTCGAGATGCCCTGCCCTGCCCCGCCATGCCGACGCTCCCCAGGGATCTGCCTGGAGTTCAGTGCCGTGGGCTCCGGGAAGAACAGCTCGTGGGCCAAGCCCCAAGGCAACGGACGCTCTGCCGGCCCCTGCCCCCGTCGGCCTGGCCACATACCCACGCCTTCCTCCAGCTCCGCATCAGGCGGTCATGCTCTCCGACCACAGCCCTCCAGGCGGTGAGCTCTCTGGTCCACTGCTCCTGGTGGGTCGCCTCTGCAAGACAAGGCGGGGGAGGGGGCCAGGTGTCAGCCTTGCAGGCCCTCATGGCCCCCAGGTTACTGAGGCCATTCCAAGAGCCAGGTTTTGGGTGAGGTGTTTGCCCCTTCAAGGCTGCCTTCCCCAGGGCACCAGCCCCAGAGCAGCCGTTGCCCACGGTCACGCTGGCCCTTTCCTCATCTCGCTTGAATTTTCTACCCAGGCAAGAGAGGGACTAGCTCCCTGCACCTTGGGGCTGGTCCTGCCTCCCCTTGGAGGCCTGTCACAAGTGAGGCCGGGGAGTCCGCACGGCTCACCAGGCTGGCGTCACAGTACGCCCAGCTGCCCGCCTGCTCCACGTGGCCTGTGTGGGAGCTTGATCCAAGGTTTTGGAAGGGAGTTAGATGCGGGGCTGTCGGGGCGGCCCGAGCCCGACAGCCGTAGTTTCTCTGTCAAACTGTGTCCCTGATCCGGCCCATGGCTCAAGTTGCTGATTCTAGAAACGGGTGGCAGGGACCTGCACCCCGAGACACAAAGCAGAATGTGTTCCTCGAGCACAGCTGGGGCCTGGGCTCTCCAGGTGGCCGCGGGGTAGGGGACAGCACTCCAGAGGTGCCTTTGGGGGTCCTTACCCCAAGGGCTCTGCAGGGACTTCCAGCTCCCATCCTGTGAGAAGCCCTGCGTTCTCTAGCCCCGCACAGCTTCAGGGGACACAGCAGGCTGGGCAGGCAAGCAGATACGGGCTGTCCCAGCTGCGCTGGTGTCCCCGGCTGCCGCGTGTGTGTGCGGGCCGCAGCGTGACTCGGGTGGAACCGCCTGCAATCTGTGTTGGGTCCCGCTGCTCACAGGCTGGTGAGCTGGGTGACCACGGGGCGGGGCGGAGGGGAGCAGGGTCACCGTGAGCGCTCTCCATCCTTTTTGCTGACAGTGCCTTTCTCGACTTCTGTGGGGACCCCTCACGGTTTGTGAGTCATGTTTACGTGATGATTCCGATTGTCCGGATGGCAGCACGCAGGGCACTTTACAGAAACGGGAAGAACGGGTTCTGGGCAGGAGTGAATATTTGCAGTTTTCTCTTCCTCAAACTCACAGTAGAAGGACGGGGGCCTTTTCAGCATCTCTAAGCATAGATGTAAATTCTTGAGAATGGACTGAGAATAGGAGGGGAACCACAAAAACCTGGAAGTTGAAAGCAGAGGCACCGGTGGGGACGGAGCAGACCCGGGAAGGCTGAATTCTAGGCCGGCAGCAGAGAAACTGAGGTACACTCTCCCAGAGACGTTCGGGCCCCGGGATAGGCTGTCACATGCATGTTGCCTCCAAGGCCGTTTAGAAGCTGAAGCGTGGCCCCCAGGGCCGCTCCCCACTCCACACCATGCCACGTGGTCCAACATCTGGGAGGATAGTTCCAGAAAGAGCACAGGACATAAAGCGGAGCAGAGTGAATACATGTTGAGGAAAATCTCCCGGAGAGGAAGGGCAGGCTTCCCGGTGGCATGGGCCTGGCCAGGCCTGGAGACACCGAGGCATTGAGTGTTCCTCATGTGGATGGTGGTCCCAGAAGGCCACGGGCAGAGCGCGCGGGGCCGGCAGCTGTGGGGTGAGCGTCCGCGTGGCAGGGGAGGGCTTTGAGGCCAGAACCGCACAGCCAGCCAGCTCCTCGCAGTGTGAAGACCAAGCGGGGGACCTTGGGTTCTCAGAACGTGGACCTCCTGGCCCCGCCAGACAGAAATCCGGGTGAGACGTGGCAGGCATGTGCGCGCGGGGGTGGTGTGGACGGGGCGGCAGTGCAGCGGGGGTAGGGGGGAGGGCCGCCCACTTACCATGTCTCCCGACGGTGACCCACGCTCTGGAGGTCTTGTTGCCCGTGGAGGAGAGGACGGAGCAGCGGTACTCGGCACTCTCTCGGGTGGTGTCCTGCAGCCAGCTGAGCACGTGGGTCCTGCCGTCGAGCAGCGTGTGGGTCTGCGTGGGGAC